AATTTTAGAAAAGGAAAAAACCACCCTGAAACCCTAGAAACTGGCAGGGAAAGGGCAGAAGCGGATCCAAAGCTCCTCTCAACCTCTTAACTGCGTTCGGCGTGTGACGGGCTGAATCAGCACGCCTTAAACCTCCCTGCTCACGGTCTCAGAAAGCCGAATTTGGGAAGTTTCCTCTGAAAACCCTCCTCTCCCGTCGTCCAAATGAACCCAGCAGCAACGTGCCACAGCCCCGTCACCGGCAGCCATGAAGCGTTTCCTCTCATTTCAATAGCAGCCACGCACAAGATTATTTCAACAGCTGGATCAAAGGAGCAGACGCAGGTTACAAGCAGCATCCGAGACGACAGTTCCTCTACTCGGATATCTATTGCTAAAAATAAGTAGCTGTGGGAAAAGTACTTAGCTCCTTGCAAGAAAGATAACGTACGTACTTCTTTATTTCACTCCTCCTTTGCTTCTCTGGTGCTATCCAGAGGAAAAGCCTATCAAATCCTTTACTAAATATACATACAGATATTTTTAACTAAAATAAAATTCCTCCCTAAGCCAAAAGCGTTGGTGGATGACACACACGCTCTATTGGGATGCCTAAACCAACTAAAGGGCCCGTGACCTTCCCCTCTCCCACTCTTTTTGACCAGCACGGTTCTCCCTATCGTGGATGGATCCCCAAAGCAGCTTAGCTTTTGCAGAGACCTCAATATTTTTAAGACGCAAGCTCTGATTTACAAAGTGCTTACAGACACATGGCAGGACGTGCCCGCTGGGAGAACTGACATTACGTGGCGATTTGAACGGGGTTCGAAGCAAGGCACGCTTCGGTGAACGCCGCACCCGAGCAAAGCCTTCGCCGAACTCCACGCCGGGCAGACGGGAATGCATCGGAGAACCAGCTTCAAGGGCAACGTGCAGACAAGCGTTTCAGAAATACAAGTAACCACAGTTAATTATCAACCCGCTCAGCAGAACGCTGGTTATGGAAATACGGTTTCTTGTGTATTAGGGAGAGGACTTGCAACAAAATTCGAGTTTTCAGCTAGGCAGGGACAATGGCTGCCCTCCGACCGGCCAGCGGTGATCAACAGAGCTAGCTCGTGATTTCTTTAGGACAAGGACTCGCTTTCTGCTCCAAACACCAGTTTGGACTGAACCCTCCATTAAGCAAAGCTCCCCAAAAGCTCCAGTCCCATCTGTAGCACAAGGATTTTATAGTCGAAGTGGTGCAACCGCTTGCAGCTTTTCACGGGAAGCGCCACGCCGCTGCACTCCTTTTTTTAATCCAAAAAATTGCAAAGCGCTATTGCAACTCAGCCCGTAAGGTCTCCATCCTGAAAATACCCGTAGTTTTGCATATCTCGCTGCTGGTCCAGCTGCTCCAGCTTGCTCCGGCAGCGCTCGCAGGACCTCGGTGCGTGCAAACACGGAGTCACCTCCAGCCGGGTAGCGTTAAAGAGATTCAGGAGACCTTGCCCTCCCATTTTGCTTCAAAACGTAGAGGTAGGTAATAGTCAGGAACAGCTAAACTAAAAACTAAATACAGTTGTCCTAAGCTAAAGCTTTAACTGAGCAAAACTTTTTCTTCAGCTAAAAAAAAAGTCTTTCTGAGAAATGCAAACAGAACGCCTTAATCTGATTTTTCAGTCATTAGGCAACGGGAAAAAAAAAAAAAAAGACATAGCAGATTATCAGGGCTTTATCACACGACACTGCAAGGATAAAGCCTCAGCACCATCATCACCATCAGCACAACGGGACTCGGGCAAAGAGAGCGCTGCCGACCAGTTCAACACTCACGTAGTCCATACTCGGTCATTAGAAAAATAAAAGCCATACAAAGAATCCCAAACGCCTTCCTTCGGGACAGGTCCGCGACACACGGCAGAGTGTATTTAGGAAAAGGCTGTGCCCGCTTTCCCCCCGACTGCGGGATCTCGGGAGCTGGAACCGTTTGTTATTTAAAACAAAACAAAACAAACCCTAAACTTGAAAAGACCGACGTCACTGCGTGACCTTTCGCAAGGCTCCCTGCAAAAACTTGGTGGGGTTTTCCTGCTAATTGAAGGTGGCAGTGAAAACATGAGCTAAGCGCCAGTTATATAAGCCGCCGGCTTCAGAAAGACTTCTTTTTAAATGTCGGTAAGCTGGCAGAAAACACGCACAGCCCCGTTAAAGACCACGGTACTTCCCTGTGCGCTTCCTCTCCTCCGGCACAGCAGAAAGCTGCTTTCAGGCTGCTCCCACCGCCTTTTCACTTGACTCTCCAGTGCCTTCTAGGTAACAGGATACCGTGGGGGTTTTTTTCGGATTCACTTTCCTTGGTTTGAGGTTTTTTTGAGGGTATAAAACAGGGAGAGATGATCTTTCAATTTGCAGGACTCGCAGAAACAGTAAAAACGCTCGTACAAAGCAAAAAAACAAACCATCCTGGCTGAGACTGCATGGATCAGGCTTATCCCAAAGAAGTAAAAACAGTCTGGAATAATACCCAACACCCTGGTTGCTCAGAAGCACCAAGCAGGTCAGACTAAAAGACGGGGTTCGGGCGTTTCAGCTGCACGCTGGCAACTCAAAGGCGAGCGGCCACGACGGAGCAGGCTGGGCAGCAGCCCTCGGGGCTTGTACGCGGGGTAAGCAACGGCTGCGAGGTGGTTCGATTTGATTTTCTTTAGGGGAAAGAAAAAAAAGAAAGGAAAGCTTGCAAACTAAGATTACAGTTACACAATTCAAAAGCATATTTTTTGCTAGAACAGGAAGCAATATTCAATACGCCAACAAGTCCGAATCCACCATTTGATTGCTTGCCGTTGAAAGACAATTTTATGTAAATTTAGGAGGGAAATGGCCTCTCTGATACCGTATCTGATCCTCGACATTGCAACCTCTGCCGATGCCAAGGCCGTACGCTGAGGCTGGGAATCCAGCATCAGCTTCCATACTGTTTTAATCATATTTGTATAAGCAAGTGGCGACTGGTATTTCTCAAATGTAAATTATGCCCAGAACAAACTTTTTATTGAGTAAAAGCCCCGTTTGCTGTCGATCAGTAAAAGGCGGTGCGAGAGGTCGGGTAAGCACAGCAGAAGGCACAGTTGTTGAGTTTTTGCATGTCTGGGTATTACCTCACTCATTTCCTCACCGATTGGGAAAAAACGAGCATCACCTTCCCGCAAAAACGGAGCGCACGGTGCGAGCGGCGGCGAAGTCCTGAACTGAAGGAGGCTCCATGTTGGATCTTAAGTACCCATTCCCTAAACGTACAGAAACGCAGCAGAAAGCGCAGCACCTTCTCTCCCGCAAACCCCAGCAGCGGCTTTCAACAGCAGCGAGCGAGGATCAGCAGGTCCCCTCTTCTCCTCTATTCCCCACACCCTCCGCCAGGGTTTGGGCTGTTGCAAGCACCGCAAAGGGCTTAGGAAAGACCTGACTGGTTAGATGACAGCGTTCGCAGGTGAGATCGCTCACAAGAAAACCCAACAATGCCTGGTAGAAGGCTTGTAAAATCACACCTAAGCGAGCAACGAGACGACGGGTGAAATTCAGAGCCTGGTGTAAAGCAAAGCGCACGGGGGGCAAAAATAATTCGGGCTACGTGTGCGCAGGGCATGGGCTCCCGAGGAGCTTCACTGCTGGGGAAACGGCTCAGTTGAGACTGATAGGAGTGGAAAAGGTAGAAGAGCTTTGACAGTTGAAGACAGGCTGATGTGGCCAAAGTGAGAATATAGATTAAAAAACAAACAGCAGGAAATGGTGTGGCAGCGCTGTGAGCCCACGAGTGCCCCACGGCCTGAGCCAGGCAGGCAGTCCCACATCCCCTCGCGGCAAAGGGCATCCCGGCACACCAGGGCAAGTCACCGAGGTCATTCCGAGAGGTTTGTGTACAAAGAGAGGCTTCACAGACCACAGCTTGCATCTGGACGAGAGAGCGAGAGCGCTACAAAATCCTAAACACGAACACGGAACGATTATTTTGTGTTTCTCACCAGGGCTGCGTGGGAGAGCACCCAAGGCAACTTTCATTTAATGGGTTGAAAACCAAAGGAGGTAGTTTTGTCATTAAACGGCGGAAATCTGTCTCGGGAGGCTGCAAAAGCCAAAAGTAAAATGGGATTTAGAAGGGCTCGGACAAACTTACCAGGACAGATCTACCAGGAGCTATCAGGGACTACTGGGCGCTACCCTCGAAGGCGCAGCGCGCTGGTACTGCACGAGACACCACTCGTGGAAAAGAAGTACGAACACCTTTAGCCCTCGCAGGGACTGAGTCAGAAAATCTCACCCAAAATTTTAAAAAACACAGCGATAAAGCAGCTGAGAACACCACCGCGTGTGCTACGCCCTCCACGACCGCTCCATCTCACTCCCTCTACATTTGCCAGACAGGACAGAAAAGAAAGGAAAGAGCTTTTCTTTTGGAAGGAGCTTTTCTTTTCAACTGCTTTTCTTCTCGGTAAGGCTGGGCGCGGGGCTGTATCCCCCCTTCCCCTTTCGGATAATAACGAATGTCTCAAGGCAAGAGAGACAGCAGAACGCGCTTGGCCTGCCCACCAAAGTCCCGGCTGCCGTTAATAACCCCAAGAGAAGGTCCCTCAGGGGAAGGACAGGACATCTTCCCACGTTACTGGACCGTACTAACCTGGATCAACAAATTCAGGATGATGTGGCAGAAGGGGAGCAGCGCCGGCACCACCTTACTAGCCCAAAAGAGGTGAGTTAAGCAATGCCAGGACGTGCCAAGACACGCTGGAGCGTGGCCGCCTTCCTCGGTAGGCGCTGCCGAGGTATTAATTGCCCAGTTTCTCAGGTTTAATCCATCCTTCTTTCACCCCCAACAAAAAATAACATCTCTATTTCAATATCCTGAGCTCAGCGTTTGCGGAGGCAACAGGGACAGCCAGGTAAAATAACTGGAGTTTTTTGGGCGAGGATTCAACCCATCACAAAACTTTTCAGATAAACTCCTCGAGAACCGATCCCGGCTATTTTGCTGCCGGCAGTACCTTCTGCGACACGCGATTTACAAAAACCACCGCCAATTCCTCCGAGGCTGAGCGAGGAGCCTGCCGCACCATCCGCAGCGCACGCATCCCAGAAAAAATTCCCAATTTACGGACCCGCTTGGTCCTGGCTTTGCTCAGGCAACACAACCGGTTCCTCGGTATCCTCAAGCCTGGGCTAAAGGCGCTCGGGTCTCGACGTCGCTATGGAAGAGAAGTTTAAGGCCCAGAAAGCGCCGGAGAAACGCAAAGTGGTATTAATTAGCCCCGGGGCGAATCTGCGTTTTCACCCTCGCTGCCAGGCTGAGGCCTGGGTTTCAGCGATGACACAAACACAGAGGACAGGGGAGAAAACGTGGAAAAATCAAGAGGTTTAATCACACGAGGGGAGGTTTTTATAGCAAAGACCAGGGGCAGAAGAGAAAAGAAAGTGGAAGCCCGACGCCGGGCAGGCCGCGGGGCCTCACGGAGCCACCATGGACCCCATGCAAGGGCCCCTGAAC